GATTTGTTACTGGTTTTCCCTCAAGTTTTTTTTTTAGTTTGCCTTTAATGTTGCTCTGTTTTGATTTATTTGAGTTCACAGTCCCTTGTGTATTCCTTATATGACACAGCTCTTCAAGGTCTGCTTCCAAGCAGCTGTTTTGCCGCTTAGCTATGAATGCTTACATTTTCTTTTTTCTCAACTGCTTTGTGATGGGTAGTAGACGTGTTTTTACTTAGATAATTTATTTTATGTTTATAAGAAATGCAGTGGTCTGAATGAGATAACTTTAGGTAGCATGTATTTATCTGTGCATATACTTGTGACTATGCACTTGATATTTGCAGATATGAGATTAATTTAAAATTATCTTAGTTCCTGAAAAAGGAATGAGATACTTGGTAAGTATCAAGAAGACAGCAAGGATGTCATTAAAAGCTTGTGTGTCTGTTCTGGTTATAGATGAAATAGAGTTGATTTTCTTCACAGTAGCTGTTGTGGGGCTGCATTTTGGATTTGTGCTGGGAAAAGTGTTGATAACATACCCCACACAGCTGTGCAGTTACTGTGGCAAAGAATGGGATAGGTGTGTTCATGAAGTACCTTGTAGTTCTGCAATTCAACCCTCAACCAGTCCTGTCAGCTTGAACTTGAGGACTTCTGGTCTCAGTGGTGCAAGGCTGAGGCTGTAGAGCCAATCCTGATGAGGATATCAGTGTGATAGGGAAATGTTGAGGTGTAGGAGAGAAGCTGCCCGTTTTGAGCAGGAGTAACAGTGTGAGGGTTATATACAGCTGCTTATATGTAGACTGACTGCATCATTGGATTATTAGGAATATAGGTAGCAATAGGAATGCTTGAATACAAAAATTTAATATATTTATAGTGAATCTAGTTTAGGAAGACTGTTGCCTTTATAAAGGGCAACGGGCGACCTGGTTCAGGTGAGACAGCACGGCGGTCTGGCCTCTCCAGACCGCTCGGGCTATCGATAAAGACGCTGGCACCAATTTGGTGGACGATCGAAAGCGTTTATTATCTCATCTCATGGGTTTAAACAGTCTTGGGGGTCTTTGCTACGTCAGAGGGGGGTTGGGGGGTCTCAGGGGTTAGTCGGGAGTGGAAAGTTACCGGGGCAGGTGTGGCTACATGCTTCTGGGGTTAATAGATAACGTGGGGCAGGGAGAGGGGGAGGGGTCTATCTTTCCGTCACATCCCGTGGTCTTCCGCTTCGCCTGTCCCTATCTACTATATCTCCCCCCTCCTTATCACATACAAAATGAGGTAGTCGTAGATATAGGCACTGGGGTGAGGTACAAACTTGCAACTTGTTAAGGAAAGGGTGGTTTGGTAAATCTGGGTAATTTTTTCAAAGCAGGTGTTGAAGGCTTTAGCTACTGACCGTGTTTGCAGTTTTTGGTTTACAGCATTTGTTGGTGGCCTACGAACAGAATGTTTGCCCTTTCCAGACAGGCCTGAACAAACGAGACTAGTTTGTTCAGCAGGCATGATCCTATGGTAATAGCTAAAAGCAGTATTGCCAGTGGACCTACCAGGGCGGAAATTAAAGTGATGAGCCAAGGTGATTGATTGAACCAGGATTCAAACCAGCTCTGCTGGGTCTCCCTGTCTCTCTTTCTCTGAGCCAGTCTGTCTCGGAGTTCTGCCATGGAGTCTTTAACGACTCCCGTATGATCTGCATAAAAGCAGCATTCCTCTTTCAAGGCTGCACACAGTCCTCCCTGCTGCATGAACAAAAGGTCCAGTCCCCGCCTATTTTGTAAGACCACTTCTGAAAGCGAAGAGACTGATTTCTCTAAATAGGAGATGGACTTCTCGATCCTCTGCAGGTCCTCGTCGATGGTTATTTGCAGCTGAGAGAGTCTGTGCTGCTGGGTTGCGATGGCTGAGACACTCGTGGCTGTGCCAGCTGCTCCCAGGCTAAGCAGCATTGCGATAGTTATACCTGTGATGATTTCCCTTTTGTGGAGTCTGTTAGGTTCCTTGAGAAGATGGTATATCTCTTCGTCTGAGTGATACAAGACCCTAGAATAGTTAGAACTTGGACACAGAAATCGATAGAGTTATTAAATTTGGCAAGGAACATACAAGGACTCACTCTGGATCTCTGGCAAACTTATATCCCGGATGTGGATGGGACCACTCACTTATTGGTCCTCTGCGGGGAGTGTCCCACTTGCACTGGTGGGGGGTATTGGCTGTGGAGTAACTGAAGGGGGTGTCTAAAGCAATGCTTTCGTAGGAAGGGGGTTTAACATCATAGCAAAACTAATAGGGGTTAGTCAGGTTTGATTTGGTTTCATTTAGGGTTAGTAAGGTAGCTTCTAAACAGGTTGGCTATGTGGAACACGAAGGATGGGGTATTTACTGTGGTGAACTCTTTGAACACCTTGTCACTTGATAGATGTTGCACGACCCACCTAAATAGCTGATGAGGGTGCTGGCCTGGGCCAGCTTGCCCCCCGGCCACAAGCTTCTAAACAGCAAAATTGCATAAAGAAAGACACTGTGCATGTTTGGGTCTCACCGCCGTGGGACTCTCAGGTGTTGTCTGGCGGTTTGGTGGTCTGTCATCTCTTTCTGGAGCAGGGGTGTATGTGTCACGGGGATGGTTCACAAGCGTGTCCTGCAAACAAGACTCACAGCTTCTCATTAGTTTTGTTTTGAGGGTCAGGTTTGATCGGCAGCAGTGGGTGTGCAGCAGTGGCTCTCATAGTTTCACCATGTGGGGGTCCCGACTGCCACAGAGGCAGCACGTCCCTCACACTCTCGGGGGCTTTCTCCCCACTTTCATGGCTAGGGCTACCCAGGGCCAGGGGTCCCGTATCGGAGCGTTCCCCGCTGACCCTGCTTGCTGTGGGAGGAGGTTGAGTTCGGCTCGCGCGCCCCCCCCCCCCCCCCTTCCGTGTTTCCAGGGGCTGGGACCTGCATTCCTTGGCGAGACGCCGTTTTTTCTCGCAGCTCCAAGGGGTATTTTTCCCCAGCTGGTAAAACTGGGTTGGTTTGTATTGTGACCGCTTTTCGGTGCGGCTTAGAACTCTACTCGGTTTTGTTTTAAACTGTGCTGGTTCCGTTTCTTTGGTTTCGGAGTCCCGGCCGGCCCCCGCCGGCTCCTCCGAGCCGGCGGAGCTGTTGCCGGGCTCCTTGCCGGAAGTCAAATGCCGGTGCACTTCCGGGGCTCGGTGCCGTTTTGTTCGGCCCCGAGCTCGCTCCTCCCCGCGGGGGTGGCGCCGCTCCCGCCCCCCGGGCTCGCCGCGCCTCCCGCGGGGGGTGGTTTCTCCCTTATATGGTGGCGGCGCCCAGCGCGGCCGCTGATTGGCTCCGCGCTCCGTGCCGCTCTCCGCCTCTTTCTCCCGCGCACGCGCGCCCCTGAAATCGCGCGGTTTCCGAGTTTTCGCGCCGAGACTACCCGGGCCCCGCCCCTCTCCTTGGCGGCCAGCGCCATTTTCAAAGGGATAGCATGGCCACGCGGCCGGGGCTTTCTCCCGAGCCGCGGCTTCCGCGATCCTGGCTTCTCCTGCCAGCTCCTGCCAGAAGCGCTCCACGCGCCACTGCGTCTCTGACAACGGATCGCGGACCGGTGGCGGCGGCGGGACGGAGGAAGCTGCGGTCTCTCGGGGGGGTTTCGCGGTGGGGGTTTTTCGGGGGTTTTTCGCGGCGGGGGTTCTTCGAGGGGCTTCCGCGGCGGGGTTTGGGCTCTGATCTGGGGAAGGGGGTGTCGCGCTGTGCCCCCCCGGGTCTCCGTTCCCGGGCGGATCCTCTTCAGGGACGGTCTGCGCTTTCGGCCCCCCCCCGAGCCCGGGTCTAACTAATAAACACGTATGCGCTGCACTCTGCGTCTCTTGCTTTTCTATTGCCTTGCGCGGGGCCTTTTCTACCTTGCCCCGTGCCGTAACGCTCTCGCCACTGCCTGAGGATTTCGATTCCCCGGCCAGCGTGGCTGTACACTGTTCCCATATTCCCGGACGCATGGCATCCACTGAGCATTCGGTTGCCCCAAGCTCAGGCAGCCTTGCTATAGCAAGATAAAAGTCCTTGAGCTTAAATTCGATACTCCATTGCTTATAATTCACACTCACGACCCATGCGACGCTGTCCATGACGCTCGCGGATCCTGGGACGTCTCCCTGCGCCTGGATACGGTCTGACCGTTCCGGCCGCTGCTCCCGTCCAGGCGTATCCCGACAGCCGGGGGAATTTTTCCCTTTTTTCTCCCGGGTTTCGGCACCAGTCTGTTGCCTTTATAAAGGGCAACGGGGGACCTGGTTCAGGTGAGACAGCACGGCGGCCTGGCCTCTCCAGACCGCTCGGGCTATCGATAAAGACGCTGGCACCAATTTGGTGGACGATCGAAAGCGTTTATTATCTCATCTCGTGGGTTTAAATAGTCTTGGGGGTCTTTGCTACGTCAGAGGGGGGTTAGGGGGTCTCAGGGGTTAGTCGGGAGTGGAAAGTTACCAGGGCAGGTGTGGCTACATGCTTCTGGGGCTTCTGGGGTTAATAGATAACGTAGGGCAGGGAGAGGGGGAAGAGTCTATCTTTCCGTCACATCCCGTGGTCTTCCGCTTCGCCTGTCCCTATCTACTACAGAAGACATCTCTTTCTCTTCTAAAAATAAAATTTTGCAAATAAAAATGAAAGCTTTGAGATAGTAATGCATATGAGATGTCTTTCTTCTTGATAGTTGTGGTTTTTATATACTTTTAGATAAAGAATTCTTACATTTCTGCTCAAAGATAATAACCTTTTTCTTACAAAGTTTATTAATTAGAAAACCTAGACATTTGATAATGTCAATTAATTAACAATTACATTTGATCATGTCAATTAATAATTAACTAATTAATTGCAAGTGGTTGGATTTTACCTTCTTCAGAGAAGTACCTTAAAAATTACGGTAGAAAAAGGGGCGAACCTGACATAAATTTACCAGGTGTGTCATCTGTAGGCCTGTATACTTTTTAAATCACCATGTGCATTTTTGTTTTGTTTTCTCGTAGGAAAGGAGACAGAGAAAGCCAAAGATCGGTGTGAAAAAGCCACTATGAAACTTCATATGTTGCATAACCAGTATGTGTTGGCACTGAAAGGAGCACAATTACATCAGCACCAGTATTATGATTCTACACTTCCTCTCTTACTTGATTCACTACAGAAGATGCAAGAAGAAATGATTAAAGCCCTGTAAGATATATTTTTAAATATTTCTAACTTGTAAATTTTTATGTATAGTATTCTAATTAATTTATAAGAACAGTTGGAAATAAGAAGCTGTGAATCATTACTTATATATCGGGGATAACAGTTGAAAAAAGTCTATCCAAATGATGCAGATGGTATTTGTGAGTGCTTACTTAAGAAACAAGACATCATCTTCTTACAAATTCTTATAGATTGACTGCAGTGTTTATATTTGACCTCATGATTTTTCCTTCAGCTAATAGACTATACCAAGTTTGTTGCCTCTCTGGTAGTCATTATTATGAAATTCCACCAGCAACAAATTTGGTTTAAACTGCCCAATTGTCCTGAAAGTGATTGCAGAAGAGCCACAGTCAGATGCATAGTTAATGGTGTGGGTGGGAGGATTAACAGGATTATGTAAACTTGATTTCACTGTAAGGAGTCTACCCTTAAAAATACTATGACCTCTTTCCTAAAAGATCATTCTTACATCATTACAGAGTATGTGCAAAGTGATGATATCTGAAAACAGATATTGAGGACTTTCAGACCTCCTTTCTAGTTTTGAAGCACCAAAGGGTGGTTACCTTTTTTTGTAAGTGGTCTTCATTCAGATGTGAAACACTCTTATTTAATTCATATTCTTGCCTATTCTGAAGTCAGAATTTGTCTTGATTGCAGTGTGGAGGAAGTGAGGGAAAGTTGAAGATTCCACACTTTATATGGTGGAGGCATCATTAGCTTCCCTATGCAGTAACATTTTAATTTCTTTGGTTCAGGTGCTGGTATTGAAATAAATCTTTGTAGTACTCCCTGTACACTCCTTTTAATTTTGTATGCAAGATTACAGCAAGAGGCTACAGTTAAATGTGTGTGCTCTAATTCAGGTGATTTTTTTAGAATCACGAGATATAATAATCAACTGAGGAAATTTATGGTGGAACAAGAGCTTATTGAAACTTATCTTTGCTCTTCCTGGAGTAAAAACCTGTAAAAAATACTTTTGTCACTACATAGACATTTTTGTGAGTTCTGAATGTATTAGAAAATTGTTCTATTATAATACCTTTGGTGCACATATAGAGATGCTGATTTCAAATGCAGAGCTTAGTGTGAGAACCTCTGTGAAATTAAACTTCCTCAATTATCCTAATTTTGCAGGGGAATTAGTTTTTTAAACCTAAAAACGTATAGAGTAATATTGCTGCTGATTTTTGTCCTCTTTTTTGTCATTGTAATTGATATAGATTCTTTTTCTCTTATATATGGCATTGCTGTAGTTCATGTTTAGCTATCTTTTCATCACACTCCATGAAGTATTTTCTGGAACTTTTTCACACATGATATTCTCAGAAAAGACAAGATTTAATGCCTTCTCTTCTCTGTTTTCTGCTCAGTACAAGTGCACTGAAAAAAATCCTATCATACCATTGTTTTTTACAGAGCAAACAAAACTTGAGATATTTCCAGGAAAAATGTATTTACACTTTTTTCTCTGCATATTTGGCTAGCCAAAATCCATTAGTGTTTTTTGAGTGGCCACCATGCTTCAGATCCTGGAAAACTATAAAATTTATCAGAGATAAAAATGAAATAGGAAATAATTATGAAGGTACATTAGGAAGGGAAACTAAAAGTTAAGAAGAATAGAAGGATTTTCCGAGTATGTGTCACCAGATGCTATTAAGAGTAGTGTCACACTACCACCTCTTCCACTTCTCATTTGGTTTTTCCCACTCTTGGAAGCTTGAGTGTCTTGTATTTGAGCACAGCAAGTTCTTGGTTAATTTTCTCTCCTTGTTTAAATATATGCTTACTTGTGATTTATGCCTATTTTTGTTTGAATGACAAATAATATATATAAAAAACATTAGAACAAGACGGAAAATCAGTGTTGAAAGGAAATGCGTGCATTTCTGTAAATCATTATCCCTTATGCCAGATTATATTTTGTCATGAAATATGAAAGTCTTCACTGTTACAAATGGATAATACAATGACTGGCTCTCATAATTAAGGGTAATGTTGTGTGTATATTAAGAGAAGTACTGTTGATGTATGGTTATGTTGTTATAGTTTGTTGGGACATCCTGTCTTCTCCCCGTAGTCCCCTTTTCCTGTCTGTATGGTTGCCATTGGACAGCCTTGGTTGTCAGGGTTGTTGGGCGCATCTGGAGGGAGGTCGTGTTGCTGTGACCCTTGCACGGGCAGATGGGAATGGGAAAAGCTTGTTACTAGGAGGGTGCATGACAACCCCTGACCTCCATCAGGTTGTAGGAAAGTAGTCTTCACCAACAAACAGCAAAGAAGAGGTGACTGACAGACTTTGGGAGGTGCCAGGGTTGGCTGATGCGATTTCCCCCCTCCCAGGGGTATAAAAGCTGGAGCCATTTTGTGGATGAGTCTCTGGCGGTTGGCCAAGCTCCCAGTGCTGGCCTATTTCCCGATTCAGTCCTTTGTTGTGTCTGTTGAGGTTTAAAAAACATTTGAAATTTTAATGTGAGCCGTAGTTTCTCACATTCAGTGTAGGTTATAACAAGCATCGCAAGTCCTGTGTGAAGGAGTGTCGTCGCTGAACTGTATACATTCCCTTTCCTCGTAATCTCTCCAGTTCGTAGTTTAGCTATGCTGTATGTTGGTGCACTGAAATCAACATAAGGAGCATGGTCTTAAGAGACTCTAGACAGCCTAAACCTGTAGAGGAAAGTTTCTTTGAATAATATATTGTCATATTTTTCCCTTTTTAGCCAGTTGGAACAAGACTTTGTAGAAACAACAAATTGAAAATTTGAAGCATCTTCAATGCCATCTATGCCTTCAGTGCCATGTTATACACTAGACTTTTTTTTCCTCTCTAGAAAAGGGATATTGGATGAATATAGCGAGATCACCAGTCTTGTAACAGAAGAGATTGTGAATGTCCATAAAGAGATCCAGACCTCAGTGGAACAGATAGACCCTAACTCTGAGTATAATGACTTCATAGATACTCACAGGTAAGCATTTGCATCTCATTGTTTCTTCTTGAGAAAACCCTGCAACTGCTTAAGTGTTCAGAGGAATTTGTTTGGTTCCTTTTACCTTGTTACTTTAAAAACTTCATCCTAATTTCAAAATTGTTTTACTTTGCACATACAGAAGGCTGGCTGAACAGACTGTTTTGGCTGGCTGTAGAAAAACAGATTTCCAGTTACATGAGAAAAGCCAAAACTTTGGTACTGACAGCAGACTACACATTATAGTCTAGACTCCACGTGAGACAATTTACTGTTTATTTGGATGCATTTGGATTCTGGGCTAAACTTGTTCTAGTTGAAAGTGATCTCTAGGTACCTTTGTACTCTGCAGCTATTGCAGGTTGAGACTTCAGAACATGCAGATAATGCAAGAAAGTTCTTACTTAAAAAGTGTATTTCCCATTTATTGAACTATTACTCTGTTTTAGTGTATGAAGAAATAGCTCTAAGACTTCTTGTATTATCTTTTTGTGGTTGTTGTATGTGAATTGGTGGTTGTCATGTGCAGGTTTATGATAGAAGCAGGTAAGAGTCACCCATTCACATTGGTAGTCTTTGAGAACCTTGATTGTGCTGTGAACTCGATTCAAAGAACTGTAGTGTGTTTTATTATCTCTTGAGCCTTTAGCATTAAGTTTTTTTTTACAGGAAAAAGAATATGTATCCAGTTGCTGTCTATCATTGTATTTCATCTATAATTTTAACTATAGTTAATGAAATACTTCAAAACCTAATGATTTGCTCTATGATCTACTCAAAGATACATGTTGATTTTGAAATTATAACAATTATTTACTAAATTAGGTCATCAGAAGTTGTTGAACAAGAAATAGAGTTTGATACATCTTTACTAGAAGAAAATGAAAACCTTCAAGCTAATGAGATCATGTGGAATAATTTAACAGCAGAAAGTTTGCAAGTCATGTAAGTCTTTACAAATCTTTCATCCTTTGGAAGTGCTATTCTATGTTATATCTATTCTCACTTAGATCTTTGCATGGCTGTGTCTCCATTTTTAAGGTCTAATTTTCTAAGTGTTATTTTTCAAAAGAAAAATGACAGCTTTGCATACATAAACTGTTTAACAGTTTTTAACAACGTATATTTTAAGGGAACATGATGAGAAAACTGGTTTTTACATTTTAAGGTAAACTTATATTTATGAATAAAATTTTGACAGTTAGGTAGTTTGGTAGTTAAAAGTCAGTATTGACTAGCTAACCTTTCTCAACAATGAGCTATGGTGTCTCCTGATAAATATTTTCAGGCTACAGACTCTTTCCCATGCTGGTTGTACTGTTCTTTGCACAAAATACTTCTCCTTAGTCTCCTCCAAAACTTGCCCTTATTTTCAAAGTATGGAATTCTCTGTGCCAGTTAATAAAATTCCCCAAATCTATGATGAGTCCTCCTTGGGAAGGTGCTGGTTCATTTTCCCAAAAGTGTTTCCACATTCACTACCTTAGGAAAAACAGCAAAATATGTTGATGAAACCACTGAGTTACGTGGTCACTGATTTAAATCACTGTATAAAATTTTCATGAATAAATTTATTTCTCTTGTTTTTTAAATGTTTGCTTTTGTTTTGTAAAGGAGATTGTTATTCATTACTGTAAACTTTAGAATGCATTAACTTAGTAACACAGATGTAGCTGTTGTATAGCATTTCACAGAGCTTTTACCTATTCGGGATGATGAACTACCTCTCGGTGTTTTGTTAATATATTGCCTAGTTAAATATCTTCATAACTTTTACCAAGTTCACCTTTAATCATTTGTTATAGGAACGAATCGACTGCTGAGATTATTATGTTTGTATATTATCAGCCTCAGCTTTTGACATAAAGTGGTCTCGCGTGGTCATCTGTAAGATTGCAACTGTTAATCATGCATTAAAAATGGGAAATTCAGGATTTCATTGGTTGATGTTGTTTTTGCTGTCTGCTGTATTTCAGTTCAGTTCAGCCTTAACTGAATTATTTTCCCCTTGGAAAGTATAACTGATGCAAATAAGACATTGATGATACATTGTGGGAATTTTTACTTTTAGTTTTCTTTAATTTAATTTCACTTCCTTAATCAAACTATGATCTTTATTTCTTGTAGATTTTCCTGAAAACAAAAATCATTGTGAACTATTTGCAAATGTAAACATATTGCTGTGTCTATTGCAGGTTACTCTCATCCCTGTGTTTTCTCAAAATGACAGAAACTCTGGATTTTAGTAATTCCTTTTTAAGGTTGTTAATCATCCTCTCTTTTTTCTCCACATAATTTGATTACTTTCTGTAAATCTATTCCATTGATAATTGAATATTTTTAATTCAAAAATATTGAAATATATTTTAATATGAAGTATTGGCCTATTTAGTCATGAAGCAGCTTTATCTTATGAAAGGATCCCATGATAATGAAGCCCCCCCCAATTCCTTTAAACATGCTTCTCTTTTAATATGTTCTGCATCATTACTATATCGAGATTATTCCTGCCTAAACTGTGAAATGTTGTACATCTTGATGTACTTCAGCACAGTAGCAAGAAATATATAGATACGGAGCCTCCCTTTTCAACAGAATATTAAAATTTTTGAAAGAGTCTGTCTTTGGCTTGCCTTTTGTATCCAACTGTTTAGAAATAAGACAGCAGCATATCTAAATAAAAGAGATAAAAATCTTGCTTTTCTGATAAATATTTCTGATTAAATATTAATTTTGTTATGAGTGTATGTCTGTATATTTACCTACATATATACGTTTTCAGTACAATTTTCATAGTGTCCTGTTGCAAACGATTCATCTGCTTGAAATTATTTTGCAAATTGGAGAAATTTTATGGTGTTACATTATTTCTGGAACTCAAATCAGGTAGCTCTTTTAAGCATTGCTGTCTTTAAGGTGTTCACTTTATGATACAGATGTAGGGTTCTGAGAAAAACAGATAAACCACAGTAGGTCAGACCAAAGGTAGACACTCAACTTTCTTCATTCCCATGTTAGATAACAGGGAAAAAGTCTTGAGAGGAGAACAAACTGGGATGATCATATAATGCTATTTCCTCAGCCTCTGATAATTTTCATTTCTGAAATATTTTGAGATAAATGTCTTTAATAGCCATGGAGGTAGTTTATAATATCCTTGGAAGTACTTTTTTTCTGTGATCTTTTTCAGTCAGGTTCAGTGTTTAAAAGTATCTGTTGTACATAGAATTTTTGGTCAAGGAATTCCAGAAATTAACTTCCTATTTTGTGAACCTGCTGTTATCTTTTTTTTCATTTTATGACTTAAGCTTTTGTTTTGGAAGAGAAGAGGAACAATCTATTCCTTTCTGCCTATGATAATGTAAATTTCTGTTCACCTTCTGTTCTGTGACCTCTTTTTCAGAGCAATCTTTTAGCTTTCATCTGTTCTTTCACAAAGTTTACTCATCCTTTATCCATATGGTTGTCTTTATTTGAATGTTTTCAAGGTTGCTATATTGGGTTTGAGATGAATGACTAGAATTTCACAGGTAATGCAGATATACAGTTTAGAGGGAGGCCTTCCAAGGTTTCATGTGCTCTTATTCTGTTTTGGTTTTAACAAATCCTAGAGAAGCATTCAATTTGATTTTCTGATCCCAGCAGCTCATCAAGCCAGTGTTTTCAGGGAATTACCTACTGTATCTCCAAGATCTTATTTCTGAGCAGTACTGGTCATTTTAGATGCATGCTTCATTCTCTACATAAAAAAAGCTTTGGGTTATTTTTTCCCCACAATATATTTGCCTATTTCCATATGTATTGAAATGACAGTCCAGGTACAGAGTATCATAATGTCCAGGATAATTCTTTTTTATTCTTCACATTCAGCCTTACTCCTTACTCAAATAACATTATATGATCAGCATTCTTTGTCACTTTTCAAATTGTCTTTTATTTGGATTATTATGAACATAGTCAGCAGTGCAGATTATTTATGAAGTTCCACTGTTCCCTGGGACTGTAAAAACTGTTCATTATTATCGTGTTTGTCCTTTGCTTTTTAATGTGGGTGAGAACCCTTCATTTTTGTTACAGTTCTCAGTAACTGTCTTTACTCATATACCTTGTTAACTGTGGTTTTAGACATGTTGTTACAGTCTTGCTTTAAATCCACTGAAAAAAAAAAAAAAAAAAACCCAAAAAAAACCCCACCCGTATTTCTGTCAACTGTGTATAACTGGAAATTTGCAAGCAAGAGAAGTCTAATCATTTATCCATGGTTGATACCTTTTAAAATGTCAGCTCTGTACATGATGAAACAATAGAAATTTGACTTTTGATCTTCAGTATTAAAGTCATGGCCTTGGATCTTTGAAGTGCTACATTATGTTTCTGTAGAGAGTGGCCTTCAGTATCTACCAAAAAAGTGCACATGGTGGATTTATTTCACAAGCATTTAAAGCATTCAAAGGCTTATATTGATTTATAATCAATAATATTTGGTTGAATCAGGTATTTTATTTACTATACAATAGAAAAATGACAGCTTTGCATACATAACTGTTTAACAGTTTTAACAATGTATACTTTAAGGGAACATGATGAGAAAACTGTTTTTTACATTTTAAGGTAAACTTGTATTTATGAATAAAATTTTGACAGGTAGTTTGGTAGTTAAAAGCCAGTGTTGACTGGCTAACTTTCTAAACAATGAGCTGTGGTGTTTCCTGATAAATATTCACAGATGTCACTGAATAATACTGAGAAATTCTGAAAAGTGTAGCAGAATAAGAGTTTTATACTTTGAAGAGTTATGTGTTAAAAGCTGAGAGGAGGCAACCAGAATAAACTAAAGGTTGATCAATGAGCATAGTAATATTCTGTTATTCTGAAATATGAGTTCTTTAAGATCAAGCATTTATTTGAATTGATAGTTGCAGCAGAACAGAGCTTTAAACTTAAGAAATATAAATGAAAGCTTTCCATGTAGGGGTGTTCTGTGATTTTTAAAGTGTTATAGTGATTAACTGTTAAGTCTTTGAAACCCTTTTGTAAACTGATTGTATCCAGAAGGCAAATACAAGACCACAAGAAAATTCCTTTGGCAAACTACAGCCAAGATAATACCAGACAGATACAGAGTTATCAGCTGTAGCCAGTTTGAATGAAAATTCTTGTTTAAACAAAGAATAGAAGTGGAGTGCAAGTAGGCAAGTGGTTTTGGTGCACCTGGTAGCTTTTTCTTTTCTCTAAGATAAATAAAAATGTCCTGAAGTATCTCAGAAGCTTCAGAAAGAACTCTGTCAACTTAATGTTTGAATCTGATGCTGGAATATAAAATATAAAATCTAATGAAGATGCTGTATCTGCATGTATATACTAATTTCTTTTACTGATGAAGTCTTATCAGTTCGTTTTTAATTTCATGACTCTTGATGCTGGATCATTAGATAAAACATCTGCTTCTGGTAAATCAGTTGTTAACCAAATACAGTGTTGATTAAAATTTTATTTAGAAAGCAGATCAAAAAGCAGTTAAATTTTTTAAAATTACTTTATTTAGTAAGGTATTAAAATAAAAAAGTTAGTTGGTAATAAGTTGGAGACTCAGTATAAGAAAACACAGATTTTGACAGCCTAAAACTAATAAAAATGTATATGAAAAGCAGAGCTGTGAGGATGTAACTTTGAGGGAAATGTTTTAAGTATTTATCTTATCTCAGAATAAACACATGTAGAAGGTTTGTCTTTTGGGAAATAAATTTTGGTCTTTCGCTCTGTTGCTTTTTTTAATGATTTTAGTCTCCTAGAATTAAGTGCATGAATGAGTACGGATCATATATATTTAACAATGTATAAAATATATTGGGAGGAGAGGACTGATTCAGTGTTTAGAACCAAATAACTCAATTTGGTGTATATGGATGTGTGGAATGTACCTCCTAGATATTTAGAGAGTTGAGTGTACCACTCCCTGGTCTGGAATGGTTTTGGGCCCTAGATCTGTGCAGTGGTAAATGCTACATACATTTTGTTTGTGTTCCACTCTTTACTTCAGTAGTTTTATTGAAATTGGGCTTGAAAATAGAGGGGAAATGAAGTTAAAGATATGCAGATAAATGACAAAAAGGAAACAAGATGTGCATGCTTATTTATTTTTAACAGATTGTTCTGACTTAACAATTTCTTGATTGGTACATATTTTACAAGTTGTCATTATGTAAGCCATTTACATGCATTGTTTAGAATGCAAATGTTGTTGTACATTCATGGATTTTTTTTGTTATTGGAATATTTACCAGGATAATTATGAAGTGTTAGTAATGGTTAAAATGTAATACCCCTTCTCTGTTAGTACTGAGTGGTTTTATACTTTAGTTTGAATTAACCATTACTAGAGACTGTAACCTAAAAAGGATAATTTTAAGGAAAGATACAATCATTATTACAAGAGAAGGTGATGGTTTGTACTTTTACTATTTCTAAAAGTAAATACAACCCCATTACTGATTCTGTGTATTTATTTAACTCATGCTTTATGAGTCAGAAGGCTTTTGTCTTTCTTACAGCATCTCATAAATTAGCAATATATTAGGAAGACATAAATTTGTGGAATTCATTGCATATTCTGGAAAAAATACTTTCTTGCTAGGAGAACCTGTAGGCAGGAGATCATTCTGTTAACCTTGTGTGTATGCAGAGGCTCACATAGAATCTCTAACAATGCAGATTAGCAATGTAAAGGTCCAGCCACGCAAAAAAAAAAACCACAAAAAACAACAACAACAAAAAAAAACCTATCACTAAATACTGACTAACATAATCTAAACAATAATGCTCTTTTACATCTTCAGGAAAAAGATTACAATGTTTCCAGATATATACAGTTTATGAATTCACAGGTTGGGTTTCTGAAATCTGTTTTACAGGTTAAAAACAGTAATAGAAGAACTGATGCAGACACAGCAAACCCTTCTGAGCAAAGAGGAACTTGTTTTGGATCTAGAGAAGAAAATAGAAGAGTCATCTAAGACATGCGAAAAGAAATCTGAGTAAGTTGAAATTTAAATTTCAAAATACAGTAGTTTGAGGGGGAAAAATGTCTATAATGCAATTCCTAAAACTTAAATGAGAGATAACCTTCACTGATCTTGTTCTGCTTTTATGTTTATCAGTTACTGTGAAAAACAACAGTAAGTTAGTTTCTTGTCTCTAAAATAAACCTTGCCCGCTGCATACCCTAACTCATTGAAGAACTGAGCAGCTCTGTAAGTTTAAGATAATCGTCATGGTTTGGCATGGCTCAAGAGCTGGGCCTTTCATTAATTCAGTTCAGCTTGTTCAAGGGAGATAAGTGAGTTTAGTTGCCTTTCTGTTTGGCAGAATTCCTTGTGGAGGTGTAATTCTGTGAAACGCTTTCAGAGTCATGTGCAAGACTTTCTTACGCAGTAATATGTTTGCAACTTGTCAGCTTAAGTTCATTCTTCTATGCATTTTCTTTACAGAAGTGTAAATGTAAAGAATGTGAATCTCATACCCTGAAGTACTGCAGAGTAAATGCCAAATATGAGAGATTAGTGAGTGTTTTAGTGCAGCATAAATAAAACATTATTAAAAAGAATCTTCTTTGGGCAACATCTTTAGGTTTTTCTTCTACCTTCGGTTAGAAAAAATATTAACATACTCTTCAAAACTGATGTCAGTACAACAGATAAAGAAACCTTTTGTCTGTAGTGATATTTTTCTGATTCTTGTTGCAATCAATCTTAATCTTACTAATTTGGTCATAAATATTTGTTTACAGTACCAGTAGTGAATTGGAATGCAAGTCCTTTAGGTAGTCCTTCATTCACTGAAGAAGTCTTGATGCTCTTTGTTGATGGAACCTTGTCTCATGAAACATCATAAAGTATTTAATTCTCATCCAGAACTTTATTTTTGTATCTGTTGTCAGTGTTTCAAATAGATATTTTCTGTCCTTTCTTTGGTGAAGTTCACATGCACTCACAATGTGTTTTCCAATTTTTGGTTCTTGACCAGTCTTCTTTGCTGTATGCTACTTAAAGGATAAACTATATTTAAACTAGTTGAGTTTGATGGGGTGTTGTTTGGTTTTTCCCGCTCAGTACTGTTTTGTTACCAGTTATTACTCCTTGAAAATAGTTTAGACCATCACTGTATTTCTTACTGTGTGAAGGCTTCTCTGACTGATCCTTTAGCAGACGTTTGTGGTGTTGAGGGGATAATTTCAGTTCAAATTGCACCAGTACCTGTTTGTCTTATTAAAAGGTAGGGAATCTGGTGTAGATGTCTAGCTGTACAGTGAAGGCTTCCCTGAAATCATCCTTGTTCTGACTTGTCATTGATGATGCCTGCCTCCAACAAGCAACCTTTTCACCTTTTATCTGCGTGCAGAGTGATCAGGATATTTCAGGATGCTTACTGTTCCCAGAATATCTTGTCCAACTGTTGCACTGGGTTTAATTATGACTGCATTAGGTTATACCTTATGGCAATGTCTTGGTACTATTATCCTGGCACTAATATCCCTTTCCATCTTCAAAAGACGATATTACCTTCAACACAGAAAATGCTTTAATTGTATTTTATTTATATATGTATATGTCAAGCATACCATCTGCCCTTCCAACATGATAGCATATTGAATATTTGGGTTTTGATTTAGTTCACCTTTTTACCACTTTCTCATATGTTGCTCTTATCTACAGAGATTCTTCATAAAAGATCTGACTCTGTGAAGTTGCTAGTAGCTATTACTAGCGACGAGAACTTTGCAGTTTCTGCTCAGGCACACCACAGGCAAATAATTTTATAGATTCTAATTCCTCATACATCACTGGAGTGGCAAGCGCTGAATGTTGGATTTGGGAAACCAAATCAGATTGTAATCCATTTTGCCATAGTTCAGAAAGAGATACGCTTGTGAGTGACTTTTCAGGGTATGTCTTGTTATTTCTGTGTCCTGATCAGTTGAAATCATTCTGTGTTTGGGGATGTTACTCCAGCCAGTGTGTGTTCACCAAAGCCTTGCTGATGGTTGAAACCTGTTATTTTCACACGGTGATGTCCTTTTCTGTCATAAAGGAGACCAGATGAAAACACTTTATCTTCAGGATAAGTTCAGAATAATTGTTCATTTGCTTCTCTGATGCTTTTAAATATGTGCAAGGTCATGCCAAATCTCAGTTTCAGATTTGAGAATTGTGTCTGCATACCTCACACTTACCCTTTTTGAATGAACAATCATTTTGCTGAGTTTTGCTCATTACTGACTTGATATAATACTCACCTATATGAACATAATTTGTATCTTTTCCTGGCAAAGAGGATTTTATGACAGGTGGTTCCCCTGTTAATTTGAAACCCATTTGAATACTCATTTGGCTGAGCATCAGTTTGTGAAGGATCAATCCCTATACGAACAACTTCTGCTTTCCTTTTTTTCTTCAAGGATAGGGCTTGCAGGGATTGTCTTCAAGGGATTATCGTGAAGATCCAGAGTGACACAATACTGTGATTTTTCTTCATATTGCCCTCATTCTTCATAGTTCTGGTTCATTTACCTCCTTCATCTGTTCTTGTAGACTGTGAGAAGTCTGAATCTCCTGTAGACCACATGTCACTGGGCACTGCTTGAGTGCTTTTAAGGGTGTCTGTATTGTACTGTGGGTGATTCTATCTCTTAGGCATCATCTGTCAGTCTTTGGTTTTGGTAGTTCTTTGGGATGATGGAGTCATTTGAGTGCCTGCAGGTACTCTTCAAGTGCATGTCCTTCAATATCATTTAATCACGACTGTCTCAAGTAGTCAAGAGTATGAGTGGTATTCAGAGAAGAACTATAAAAATAAGCAGATGATGAAAAGTTGCTTTTAGCTCCTTGTAAAGATAAATTTATTTAGCTTCATAAGACAGTTATAACCCAATCCAGAAATACTTAGAGTGCAGAGGGAAAAATCAGATATCTCTTATGTGATGCCATGTGAATTTATACTGGATGTGAAGGGAGTTTAATATTGCAAATTATTACTGCACACTGATTGGAGTGTCCACGCAAACAACTACACTGATTGAAGTGAATTTCTCATCACTTGAAATCATTATCTAAAATTTACTTATTCTCTCAGGGAAAGGGAACCCCAGTGTTTGTAAATTTAATCAAAAGTGAATGAAAACAGGAGTTTCACCTATATTTATTAAACATGATTTTTGTGATAGAAGAGAATGATTTTGTGATAGAGAGAAGAGAATGAGTGTTTGCTTTTATTATCTTGTTGCTTTGAAATTTTTCTAGAATTGTTTCAACTTTGAATAAAAGATTATGTTGAGGAGTTGTCATGCTTTCTTCCTCTCAGCTTTTATAAAGCAAATAGACTATTTTCAGACATGCACATTGTTAAATTGTTATTTTTATTTGCAGTATTGTACTCTTGCTGAGCCAAAAGCAGGCACTTGAAGAACTTAAGCAAACAGTCCAGCAATTAAAATGCTCTGAGGCAAAATTTGCAGCACAGAAAGAACTACTGGAACAAAAGGTTCAAGAGAATGATGGGAAAGAGCCACCACCTGTAGTGAATTATGAAGAAGATGCCAGATCAGTGACTTCTATGGTAAGTTTTACACCTGTTTTACTGAATTGTGTAGCCCTTACACTGTACTTAAGATCTGGGATCAGAGTATCAAGCTACTCACTGAGACTATTGAAAGTGAATGGACTTCATGTTGCATTTTTGGAGACTTGTTTGGACAAGAAGTTCAGTTGCATGATATTTTTTGTTTTTAAGTGGCAGTAACTCATAACAGTCTGTGTCTGGGTACTTGGGTTCGTCTTCTCTACGCTTGATGCTTAGATTTTCATTACACTGTTTAATAAAGAAGTCTTAACCCTTACACAGATTTAGTAAATTTGACTGAGTAGCTACTGGTAATTTCCTTGGCTGTGTTGAAGAAATAAATTTAGAATTGTAGGTAGAAAATTAACGGTAAAATCTCTTTGAATTGCTGCATATGTTATGTAATTGAGAAATTAATTTTATGTACTGTAATTACTCTTTCCTCAAACAGAAATGAACACTGTTCTCTTTACAACTTATTTTTAAATGTTTACATGCTCCTAATGATTAAAATGAAAATTTTTTGGTCTGATGAGACCTCATACAGTTTAAGTAAGTACCTTACTTTGCTAATATTTTGTGTGACTTCCTTTTCTCAGTTGTCTTGCAGCTATGTGCAGAGTTTGTAGGCTACAAAAAAAAAGCAAACAAACAGTACCTGTTTACTAAAAGGACAAACAGTTTTTGCCTTTGTGTATTAGTTTTGACATGTAGGAGATATTTGTGACTTTTTTTCTTTGAAGTTTAGCCTGACATTCTTTTTGGCCTGTGGGGCAGTAACTCTGTGAAATGATAATGAAATAGCTGCTTCTGAGGGGAGAGATGTTTTTCTTCCTCTGTCTATTTGTGGAACTGTTTGATTCCCATTCTATAATTTACTTAACTTTCAGCATTTTCTTGCTTCCATTGCTGTTTAATATTTTCAAGGCACTATGAAGTGGTTGTCATTTATGCTGGTAAAAAACATTATTTTACAAAGCTTGTATGCTTGTCGTGACTTAGAAGGAGTTTAAAAAGTACAAAAAGATTAAGAAGGAGAAAAGAAGGATCAGGATAATAATTGCAAACAATTAGGGGGCTTGGAATCTTTTTGGGGCAGGCTATCTTGTTAGTTATTTAATACCACATCCTGTAGCAGTGCTAGTGATTAGTGTCTGCTAGTATTACAACGTGCCTGATGGTGTTGAGATGATGAGTCTAGTCATAAGAATGGTACTCTTCCCCTTCAGCTCAAGAGTACTGAAACCTCTGTTTCAGTGAGTGGGACAAAATAATCCTGTGTGCTGAGCACAGGCCTAGACAGGGCCAACAGGACAGAGACACGGCAGCTCCATCTCACCTCCAGTGTCACCTTCAAGGGTGAGGGCTCATCACCTCTCGTGCAGCCACTGGTGGGCCTGTGGTGCCCCAGGTTAGATGGCACAGAGTGGGTTCTGTGCTCAGGGAACAGTGACCTCTGCAGAAGGGCAGGGCAAGGGGGAGCATACATAGAGCCACAGGATGGTTTGGGTCGGAAGGGACTTCCAAGATTGCCTAGTTCCAACCCCTTTCAACACCTTCCACTACAGCAGGCTGCACTGCTTTATAAAATCTTGCCACTTTAACCCCAGTGCAAGGTTGCAGAGAAAAGCCATGAGAGCAATTATAAAGGGGACTAATGATGCGAGGCAGTCTGGTCGTCTTCTCAGGGAGAAGGTAAAATGAAAACAGGAAGTTGGTACAGAAGGAGGCAGAAATATTTAACACACTTAAGTTATGTAGTGTAAGCTGAAATAGAGGATAATGTGGGTTTTTGTTGTTTTATTTTTTAAACCAGTAAGTAAAATTTACTGTTAAGGCAACTTGAGAAGATAAATCGGGTATGCATTTGTATGCCAGGGATAATGTTGACATTCATTTTTCCATTAATTTCATGGATTGTGTACTTTAAGTAACTTGCTCTAGTTTGTGTAGTTCCATCTGGCCTATGTTATCTGAGAATTTGGAGTACCTTCACCTTTTATGAAATAGTAATAAAAGATTATTCAAGCTACCTTGCAGAGAAGACCTGTCATAAAGTGTGATGTGTTAAGCTCCATCTGAAGGAGCTTTGTGCAGGATTACCACTTTAGTTTCTTCTTCAAGGCAAAGCTTACCAAAAGGCCTAAGCCACTCTTGGACATGCACACTTATTTTATGGGTGCCAGATGTGGAAGTCCTTGTCTTGTAAAGTCCTGAATGGGACTGAAAACAGGGTTAACTGTGATAGAAGGTATCTTTATTTCCACAGATAAATCAAGTTCAGCATTTACATGTACTGGGTACAGTATTTACATGCAGGCCGTTGGTACTGAGGCTGCCTTGGGATCAGCACACATTACCCCAGAAGGAAATGGTTATGATCTACTGCAGACTATTTCTTCAGCTCTAAATTCCTTAAGTTTTCTCCACTTTTTCTGAGAGCAGGTCATCTAAATATACTTGAATATGGTTATTTATTCCTCTTTAGAAATTAATTGTAAACACTTGTTTGCAATTTTTTTTTCCTTAAGAATTAGAAAATCATAGTTGGCTTGTTTTGTCAGCATCCATATAAAGCAAATTTTCATGTCCTCAAGTCACAAGTAAGTTTTTTGTTTTGTAATTTAAAATTTAAAAGTGGGATATGCAAAGCAATTTTGTTTCATATCTCCTAAGTATTTATATCATATGAATAGAGCCAATTTCATGGTGGAATAGTTTGCAAATTGTTGTTTCCCTTCTCTTACATTAGGTAACTGTACAATAGAATACTAACAAGGAGTGAAATTCTGAAATGCTGTTAGATATGTTTTTATAGACAGTGTAATGTTATATTATGTGAGTGTTTTAAGTTAGTTTTCTTGTTCTTTTTTTGCATCTATTAACTGTAGGAAGTTTCCTGTTCTGTTAGTGTCTTCAATATGGTTTGCTTTAGTCAATATATTTGTTGATGTGTATTTGCCATGTATTGGTAGTCATGTACTCATTTAAGGAAAAAAGTAAATTGCCAAACTTTTCTCTTTTTTTCAATTAGAATATAAAACAGAGTGAAGCAGAAATGTCTGAACATTGAATTTAACAGTTTTGTCATTGTATATGGAAAAATGAAACATTGTTACTGGTAGTTATACTTTTCTATTGACTTACCCATGCAAGACAGAGATAATTATAATGCTGATGGCACTAGAAGTTTAAAATCTTATTTCTGAGCCCCTTAGAATTATGGATTTATGCCATTCACTATGTTAATGGAAGATTTATAGTTCACATTTTCTTCTGTACCTAAAGTGTGGAGATACTAAAAAAAACTCTTGTTATTCCTTGTAAACAGATACATTTTGACAAAAATATAGTAGTATCCAAAGTGTTATGTATTATGTCACTTCATAAAATTTAACTGGAAGCTACATGAGCTAACTTTTCCACATTTAGGTGTTCAGTCAGTGGATGTATGGCCTGTCATTTATCTTGATTTACTTAAGGTGTATTTTTGCTGTTAATATGATCAACAAAGCATGGCAGTAGTCCATGGTAGTTCAAATGAAGAAAACAACAGCAACAAAACTTTTATATGGCTGGTGATCAGATTAGAGATAAAAACATCATTAATTTTGAGTATTACAGTACCAGTTAAACATTTACTCAGGTAAATACATACAATTATGATAATTTGCATTTAATGGTAAAGCTTTAAACTTATAGGATCAGTGTTGCCTTGGAAATTGTTACAGAATAGGGAGTTCTTAAACCAGGCAATAGATTCAGTTAATATAAAATAGTAATTAATTTTGTTTAGCAATAATTTAGTGAAATCTCTGTACCACTTTAATATGTCTTCTCCTTTTTCCTTACAAGCTAAAGAAATTATGAAGGCATAAACTCACAACTTTCAAGAATATATGTTTGAAATTACATGCTGTTCTCACTGTAGAAGTGTTTCATGTAGATTTATTTTGCATACTGCAGCATTTTGCTGGAGCTGGTTGACAAAACTGAGGCTTGGTGTGCAAGCTATGCAACACTTGAGAGACTTGTCAGCAGGTGGAGCTCAGTGCCAGAAGACTAGTTATGACTGAACAAGCCAAAGCTGTTAGCATGAAGTCCTGAGAGATATCCAGGGCAGAAGCAAGCTGAAGCACCATGGTACAGCCATTGGGATGTTGTAATGCTTTGTGCCAGTAGAGTTCCAGGCTTAAAACGGTACACAGCAGAAAATGGTTTTATCTGTTCTAGCATAATTACTTGAAAAAAAAAAACCCAGAAGTTCACCTCATATCTAATAACTTTTGTTGTTTGTTATTCCTTTTTAAAAGGCTTCAGAGGTGTTATCCTTAGTGATTGCTTTAAAAGTAAGAGAAACCAGCTTTTAGGGAAGGTTGTGGTAATTAAAAAATTAGATCTCAGTCATGATGGAAGGAAAAATACATGAATACTAAAAATACTAAATACATGAAACAGACCTGAAGTGTTACTTTATTTGTTTGTAAATTATTCTACCTAATGTGAATGTTTTATCTTTCCGTCTTTGCTTTCTAGAATCCAAGACCAGGTGCTCTAATCAGTATGATCAATAAACCAACAGCCAGAGTTTTCTGCAGGTTTGGATTTGAAGATAATGTGTTCAGAACTCCCACTAAAATAGTAATTGACAAATGTAATCAATTTGTGTGTTTTGATTTTTTCATTGTCCATTACACAGATATGAAAGAGGCTTTGCAGGAGTTTGCAATTTCATTAAAGATGCTTCATTGCATACATTTTTGATGTTGGATCACAAGGTCCTGAAGCGTAATCTGCTGAGAGAACTGCAACACTCTTTGGGGGTTCCTTTTCCCCTGCTGTGGCACATTGTGCAGGTTCTTTATTTTGAAATAGATGCAAGGAAGTGATTGCCTTCTCTGACAGGCCGTTGCAGCAATTGCAGAAAGTGTAACAGTAGAGATAAATTTGTCATTTTTCTACTGACTCAGAAGAATAGACACATTCTTATGCTCTGT